TCGCTGACGCAACAGTATGCTGGATTTAATTAGTCTGGCATATGGATTTAACCTGATCAGTTGAATATAAAACATCCAGTAAAAGTAATCATCCTATATTAGTGAAGCAAGTTCACATACATACACACACACACACAGTGTTTCTGTTAAATGTGATATGAAGAAAGATTGTTCATTAATATTTCACTTTGTGTCCAGTTTCTTTATTTCATTCATTCTCACGACTTAGTTTCTCAGAAATATTGCATTAGTTAGCAGTAGGTATCTTGATCAAATCTCCAGTTATTAAGCAGACCTATTCCATTGTTCTCAAACTACCATACTACTAGAAACAGTGCACTACTTCAATGGTTTGAGTAACTTGTGTTATTCTCAGATTTCCCTAGGCATAGCCTTCAGGATCTGCATAATAACGGGGGGATTCAACAAATAGTGCATCACGATCACGAAGTTGCGTCTGTATTTGACTGTCTTTACACAAAAGAAACTGAACACGAAGTTGTAAACAATCACAATCTTTGCTATAAACAAAGTCAAGTTTAAAGTAATAGATGTACAAGTGCTTATGTGTTTGGGTGAAGAGAGAGACAGCTTTATTTGTATTATCTCATCAGTATAATTCTAGTTCACAGATACTGAAGTTGGATCAAATCTTGCTAAGCTGTCTAGCAAAGACCTCGCTCATAAAATTGTAATGAAACAGCCCAGAAAAATCTTTGTCTATGAAAATCTCTTAACACCTAGCAAAAGGTATCAGTCTGAATTAGTCTAGTAAATATTGTTACGACAGCGGAAGTCGCGTGACGCTGGGAGCATGCGCGCTGGAGTTTCTCGAAGGATCATGAATTATCGAGTAACCCTGCGAATGTCCGAGCGTTTGCTAGACGTCCTCTTTTTTAGTATATAAGCCTGGCGAGAAAGACCAGCGGAATCGGAGATATAGATAATTGAGTCAGGCGAACAGTAGGCACTGTAAGTAAAGTGTGTGTGAATCATTGTGATTTATAGCGTGTGTTATAAAAGTAGTTAAGTTTAACATACT